TGTGGATTATTGTGATGTTTTTATCAGCTGTTTGGACTCTCATTCTGACGGCACCCATTCACTGCAGAGCATCCATTGCTGAGACACTGATGTAATATTTTTAGTTGTTGTAGCTTTTTAAAACCTGTTTTATTTCATTTTAAGTAATCTTTGAGAACCACTGCTCAGAGTGTTTCTATTGTAGATGCGACTGAATTCTTAACGCGGTTCTTAATTCTGCAGCTTCTCCAGCCCAGAAGACATCAGACAAGCGAGAGAGTCCAAAATCCAAGCCAGAGCCCAAACCAAAACCCAAACCCAAACCTAAAGCCAAGTCTGTAGAGCCTTTCAATCGCATCTTGGAGGGAGTGGTGTTTGTCCTAAGCGGCTTCCAGAACCCCTTCCGCGGAGAGCTGAGGGACAAAGCGCTGGCCATGGGAGCCCGATACCGGCCCGACTGGACCCCAGACTCCACACACCTCATGTAAGGAGCTCGTTATCAGTGTAACGAGGCGTTTAGAATAGTGGTCAATAGGGCTGGGTTTTGACACAGATTTCCCGATTCGATTCTTATTTACAAGCTTGCGATTCGTTTCGATTCCCGATTCGATTCAGTATCGATTCTTTTGGATATATATCAGGTACACATGCCAAATTTTCTCAAGGAAAAAAATTATCTTAACTAATGCTGTAAAATATACATGAGAGTCAGTTGGTACTACATTACGATAATATTGAAGGTTAAAACTGACTGATTTTTTAGGCTATACAACTGCTAAAATTAGTTTTTATAATAAAAGTTACAATTACATAATTATATTTCTACTTCAATTCATTTTTTTTTTTATATAAACATTTAAATGGTGGCTGTCATAAAAAAATATAGCCTAAATTAAGTAAAAATTATAATGAATATGTTATATGGTGCATATATTTAGCAAAATGCCCCTCTCTACAGTTTATTTTTCTAGCTGACCGAATAACGTTATGTTTTTGAGGTAAATGTGACGTTACGTGACACTGTTTACAAGCCGTTATATTGACGTCTTTGCGCGGAGGAAACACTGACTGAGCGATTACATGAGGATTGTAAAGTTGTACTCTTTCTTTTAGCTAACCTTCGGATGTTTAGTCATGTTTATTTTGTGCTGAAACTGGTATTAATTAAACAGCGCCAAAACGGCATTTATTGTTTGGATACTGCAATACAACGGACAGAATTTGAAATCTGAGACTTTTTCATATTAAAAGTACCAAAGCACAATGCTTATTGCAATATATTGGATGGGAGGTGCCCTTCAATATTCCGTCCATTAACTGAAAACAGGCGAGACTAATCGATTCTTGGGATTTAAGAATCGATATCGTTTCGTAAAAATGAGATTCGATTAAAATCGAGATATCGATATTTTTCACCCAGCCCTAGTGGTCGACCGACATTGGCCGATATAATTTTATTTATTTTAATTCATATTTAAGAAATTTAAAATCATTTAAAAATGGATTAAAAAATAAATGTGTAAAATAAACAAACTTATACTTTAGATGACAAAGTATTTTTCACAAATAAATAAATGTTTAATAAAAATGTAATTAGAAAGGAAGTAAACACTGTAAGCAACAGGGCACTCAGTATTTTGGGAAGTTTGTGTGCATAGGGAATCATATTTTTTCAAATAAAGCCAAGGTAGCACTCATGTTACATACAGCACACAGTGGAAATGACATGAATAAGACAGTGGGCAAATGCATAAATCGCAGCATAGTTTGAAATCACGAGTTTAAAGTTTGTCGATCGCGTGTCTCCAGTGAAGCTGAACTCTCCCCTGTCCGGACCGACCGTCACGCAGAGAACACACGATCAGGCAATAAACAAATGTGACCCTGGAGCACAAAAGCAGTCATGAGTAGCACTGCTATATTTGTAGCAATAACCAACAATACATTGTATGGGTCAAAATGATCCATTTTTCTTTTATGCCAAAAAACATTAGGATATTAAGTAAAGATCATGTTCCGTGAAGATATTTTGTAAATTTCCTACCGTAAATATATCAAAACTAGTAATATGTTTTATATAATAATATAAAACTTTAGTAATATGCATTGCTAAGAACTTCATTTGGACAACTTTAAAGATGATTTTCTCAATATTTAGATTTTTTTT